TTTTTGCTTGGAACGTTTGAAACAGTCGCAATGGATGAAGGGTGAGAGATATCTCAGGATGGGTGATTTCTGACTCTGATCAAGTCAGGGGTCACGGCCTTGTGGACCTAGCGCTGTATTTGGTTGTAATGGTGAGAAGGATGCCATGTTTTTTTTGGAAGGGCTGGTAAATGCCTTTATGTGAGACAGACCCCTGCGTAGTCCCGCAGTGAGTCCGTGTTTGTTTTGCGACACTCCGTCTAACCACCTATGCTAGTCCTAAGACATGTTAAAGGAAGGCCAAGCTAACGGAAAGGAAGTTAGTACCACTTTGGGCGCAACCCCAGTGGATGGCTGCTAGCCGACACAACCTGGCTGCGGGACCGCAAAGTAAGAGTTTAAGGGGTGTTGCCCGCCCCAAGGAAATTACTTCGCGGGGTAAGAGTCGAGTCTTTCTTAGGAAGCCCTGATTGGAAGGTTATCAGGGAAAAGCCTATGGCTGCGCAACCAGCGAGGGTACTGCCGCTAAATAACAAATGCGGTGGGTCGTAGTCATGGTCCGATCAACCAGGCTACGGTGGGCCAAGATGGAGACCTGGCCTTTCTGTACTAGACTGCAGAAAAAGCCGAGTGAAGATTATGCATGTGAATACACATGTGTATTTGTTTGTGAGAAACTTCTTGAGAGGGAAGGCAAGTGTGCCTTCAAAGGTCTCGGTTAGGGCCCGCGCCCCTAGTTTTTGCCAGGACTAGGGGCACCCAACGAGAAGTCGAAGGTTGTCTAGGGCCGGGGTGTGAGGATAATTGAGGAAGGCCATTGAAACTTATGCTGCCCGTTTCCGATTGACATCGGCGAGAGAGGACCCGGATTGGGATCCGGACAGCGTATAGTTGCAAAGGCATGTTTTGATGGAAACCTCTACCTCGAGCCTGTCGGTTGATCGGATTGGTCTCTCTTTCGTCAGCATCTTGAGTAAATCTGATAGTTTTTTTATTTTGCGAAGCGACGAGGGAGTCGCTTGATATGGTCCGGTAAGCGACGGGGACATCGCTTATTATGGTCCGGTAAGCTGTCGGTGCGGATACCTTTACAAGGGTACTCGCACGGTGTTTTCGTGGTTGACAAAGGTATGGGTCGATTTAGAGTTTATTAAGAAGGACCGCGCGAATCACGGGGTCGCGCAGACTAAAGGCGCGGTGACAGCGTCTAGATTAAAGAGTGTGTGAGCRTGCACTTTGTGGGCACGGACTAACTTGACCAAACCCTGATCGAGGAAGACCACGACGCGTGGTATACCGAGTAGGTGCTAGGCTAAAACTTCTGAGGCAGTCGCGGCCTCGCACGCACAGGCGGAATTTYGGACGGCGTGAAGACGACTTGGTAGGACTATGACTAAAAGGGAACGTCGCCCGACTTATYGAGAACCGRTGGTTTCAGGCCGTGCCGTGTAGAGTTCGCAGGCATCAGGTTAACCTTACACCGTCRAAGGTAKGAGTCGYMAGTGAGTCCAAGTAAGGGCGGCACTGAGAAGAACAATGAGTGGGGTTTTCTCGGCGGAGAGGCRGTAAAAAGGCGTCGTGRCAGGTYATGAGAAGCTCGACCCGCCGCCCTGCCGTGGTTGGGCTRGCGAGTGTGGTAAGCCAACGGACCTGTGCCTTCAAAATTGCCAAGTACGGCTTTGGGGAGCCCAGGACGCAGGCCGTAGGTGGGAAAAACGGYCGGGGGTACCGCTTTGCAGGTCTGAACAGGCTGCCCTTACTCTTTAAGAGTAGGACTGYGCCCAATGCTACCAGGTTGGGGYTTAGCCYTATAGGTTACGACACTGAGCTTTCACCAGGCAGATCCCGGGATCRAGGCCAGCAGGCAGCAGCGRAGCARCGAGGAGCGCAACTTGGAGAGAAYCGAGGGGTTGAGGRTCCYGCGGGACTATCCCCYTTGGTTTTGCGGGGAGTCCCGACGACGGGCCCGACGGCCAGGACCGAGGCCCATGTCCCAGCGGTTCCCATCCCCCAACCCGTTTTCTAACTTTTTTAATTTTTATTGATTATTATTTTTATTTTTATTTTTATTTATTAATTTATTTATTTATATTTTTTTTCTAGTCGCCTGTCCCGTTTCTGGGATGAGGCGCCAGCGTTGGTACCAAGGCTGTCTTGCCGGGAGCAGCGGGCATGAGCAGTTGGTACACCCATGAAATGTTGGAACATGGGCCGAGGAGTTCGACATGCATACGAGYCGGTGGGTGACYAACCCACAAGGYGGAAGAAACCTAAGTGGCAGGGACCCTCTGCGGGTGCACAATCTGCCAACCAYGAKCTGCTGCARGGCARCTKTCCGTAGTCCGCAATCTGCAGGGAGGGGTTTTGAGTGTGAGCGTGCCCATTGGGGCCCGAAAGATGGTGAACCGTGCCTGGCACAGTGGGACGGGCGAACCAGGGAGKAGGCCGCAACAACACTAACTATGCTCAACTATGTGCATGAAATCCCTCTCCACTTCRGTCTTCAAACTGCTACTACCACCAAGATTGGCAGTGGGACCTGWGTTCACCTGGAAACACGCTGTAGGCCTCACAACAGTCCCTTCCCCTCACCCTTCTCTGATTTTTCTTTTCTTTATATTTATATGTTTTTATTTTTATTTTTGTCTCATTTTTTTGGTGGACTGTCTTGACCCCTACGTCTGGTACCGAGGGCTGGCCAGGCGGGAACCGGCCTAGCTTAGTGGGTACCCCAATAGAAGTAGACAAGCATGATGATGCAAATCTGAGTCACCCGGGGGCGGAGTAGCCCATCTCCGTGGGGATATCCTAGTGCCGTGCCCACGGGTGAGTCCTTCGGGACATCTGTTAAAATTGGAACGGTACAGAGAAGATTAGCATGGCCCCTAGGCAAGGATGGCAGTGTGTAGCATCTGATCCTGGCCAGCGATAAGAAAAAAAAAAACAGGAGAAGACAA